TGTGGGTTTTTTAATGGATTGTGGGGGAAGGGATGACATGGTGGAGCATACCTTCATTAGACAAGATTATGCGGCGAGATTGGATAGAATGTACGTGTCTTGTGTGGTTACAGTGTGGAGAGTGAATGTGATAAATGTGTTTTTTTCGGATCATAGAGGAGTTGTAATGGATGTAGATACTGAGGGTGTGCCTAGGAGGGGTCCATCATTTTGGAAATTGAATGTAAAGTTATTGAAGAGAGAGGAAAGTCGTTTGTCTTTTGGGCATATGTGGGAACGCCTAGTAGTTGAAGCACCTGGAGATGTGGCTTTGGTTAATTGGTGGGAAACTATAGCCAAAAAGCGAATTAAGGAATATTATATTAGTCAAGGGGTGAGATATAATCAGTTACAGTATGGTTTCCAACGATATTTAGAGGGGCAGTTGCGCGACTGCTATGTACAAGTGAATGCTAATTATCCTGTTATAGAAATTGAAAGAATTAAGGAGCAACTACGAAATTTACAAAACGAAAGGTTTGATGGGGAAAGGCTTAAGGGTGGAATCGAAGAGGTTTTGTGGGGAGATCGGCCGTCGGCGTGTGTGTGTTGAGGAATCAACACAGACGTCGCAAGGCAATGGAGTTAATGGGGTTGAATGTTCAGGTAGGTATGCAGGGGTATAGAGTGAATCAGGTGTTGACGACGACGGAGGGTATGAGTGGGTATATTGATGCTTGGGTTAAATTGAAAACGCAAAGTGTTGGAATAAGTGAAATTACATTGCAGTCAATCGGTAGGTTTGTGCAGTGTGAGCTGATGGAGCATGATCGTTTGATATTGGGAGGGCCGATAACGGAGTGTGAGACTTGGGAGGCTTTATCTGGGGCGCAATTAGGTAAGGCGCCAGGAATTGATGGGTTGCCCAGCGACTTTTATCTTCAAAATTGGAAGTTTTAAAGGGGTTTTTGGTACGTTTGTTCAATATAATGAAGCGGGATGGGGTATTAGGGGAACAACAAAGGTTGGCTGTGGTCGTCCTAGTTCCTAAAGGTGAGCCATTAACGGTTAAAGATTATCGTGCAATCTCGTTATTATGTGGTGACTATAAAATTTTTGGAAGGATCTTGGCTAACAGAATAAAAAAAGTCCTGGGCAAAGTGATTGACAAGGGACAATATGGGGTGCCGGGCAGGTCTATGTATGAAGGTCATGGTATAATTAGAAGTTTTATTGAAGAAAGAGCATATGATAGTGTGGAACGGGAGACGTTATGGAAGATCATGAGATGGCAGGGGTTTGGGGCGGAAATTATATCATGGGCCAAATTAATGTATCAGGAGGCAACCTTAACGTGTGCAGGTGAATGGGAGGTTGGGAGATCGAATTCAGATGGGAAGGGGTTTGCGTCAAGGTTGTCCCCTTTCACAATTTTTTTTGCTTGTTTTCAAGATCCCTTTTATAGAGGGATAAGGGTTTTATTGGAAGCAAATGGGATGAGTAATGTAAGGGGTGGGGGAGCAGGCATTGTTAGATATGTCGACGATACGACGATTTTGGTGAGAGAAAACATGGATTTGCTTCGGGTAGAAAAGTTAGTGAAAGTTTTTGAAAAGGCTTCTGGCATGACGATTAATACGGGGAAAACAAAGTATATGGATCTTGGAAAAGGGGTCACGTGAGGAAGGAATGATTGCTGAAAGGTGGGAAAGGGTGGACCAAATAAAGATATGTGGGATCGTTTATGGTAGTGATATCAAGTTAGCACAACAAATAAATTCCGTGCGTATCGTTGATAGTGTTCTGAAGCGCCTCAGTGGTTTAAGAGCTGCTAATTTAAGTTTGCAACAAAGGGTGATTACAACGAATGTGCTATTATATAGTAAACTATGGCATGTTACAGTAATATTTCCGATACTTCGTTGTGAGTTAAAAAGGTTACAAAAAAGTGTTTTTAGATTCATTTGGGGAACAGGGACGAATGGTTAAGTAGAGCGGTTGTCACACTACCGGTTGGCCGTGGAGGGCTGGGTCTTATAGATGTCGAAAAGAGGATAATAAGTATATATTTAAAACGTAGTTATAAGTGGGAGAGGGTGGGGCGAAAGAAGACGGACTTCATAGGATACATCAGATATGCGACGGTGGTGGGGGGGGGGGTAGGGAGTTCATGTTAGGTGAGGCAATGTTGTGGGTCTTCATAAACGTGAGGGATCCTTCACATATTAAATTGAGAAATCTTGATAGGGTGGATGGTAAGGCTGTGGTAGCGGCGGTAGAAGGAGTTTATCCGATGTATGATTGGCGTAATATTTGGGGGCGTTTAAACAAATTGCGTTTAAAACCTAAAGTCAGAGAAGTTATGTATAGATTTTTACATGGAATCTTGCCGTCAGGAATGGTTTTATTCTGTAAGAGAATACGAGAGGATGGGGAATGCAAGGATTGTGGCGGATTGTCGACTATTTATCATACGGTGTATTTTTGCGATTGTATTGAACTCATAAGGGTTTGGATGGGTAAGGTTTTAAGGTTAGTGGGGGAGGGGGTTTGCAGGTCTTGAGGGTTTTAAGTTTAGATATAACTGGGGTGAATAAAAGGGTTGAGAATGCGATT